ATACGCGTATATAACGACATCTGGTCATGGGTCAATGTACATGTATAAATGAATGAAATGCATGAGGAGTAAGTTAATAAGATTTCTCAGAATGTCATACGATCAATATGCCTTTGGTAAACTTTATCAATTACGTATTTTTATGAGGCCTATAAACAGAAGATATAATAATAAGACACATGGGAATTCAAGAACATAGGCACCCCTAGTGCTTCTATGAATAGAGATATTTATGAAAGCTGTGCGTTTGCTCGTTTCGTTTGAATCATATGGATCATGCCAAAAGTAAAGAAGGGATAACCTTAACATACCCTAGCCGATTCTCTTGACAATCCCTTTAACACACGACAATTGCAAAATTACACGTAACAACGAGATCGAAGTGGGAAAAATTCGTATGATATTCTTGAGAAATGTTATACTGGGATCCATTAGAAATGTAAATCACATTGCCATTACATTGTAGGGGTTCATATGAATTTTTGAAGTTACATCCGTTACTTTGTTGAAGATCTCATCTTTTACTTTTTTGAAGATCTCATCATTTACTTTGTTGAAGCTTTCATCCATCCCCCTTAATGAATTTGGGAGGTTTCTTATTATAGGCATGAGCCCCACTTTATGTAGTGACCTAGCCAACAAATTTCCTAAATATGCCACCTAGTTACATAAACTAAGAGTCACCGTTTGGCTTGATTAAGAACCCTATTTGCTGGCATGTTGGGAGGTCCATTAAGCTTTATCCACAAATTCTAATTACATTATTAATCTCCCATTAAAAATCAATTATCCACATAATTAATAATTATCTTAAATTACTTAAAACACTAATCACTTTTAATACACTTTATATACCTTACTATCATGGTCATGTGATACCTTGTATGATACTAGTCCATAAATATGTGGTATTATAGCTTGGACCGTATTTTATCCCAAATTGACAACCTTCAGCGAAACTCATATTCTTTGATTTATTTACCCTCTAACCTTCACGGTACTTACTTACCACCAACTATAAATAGCATAAATGCTTATAACCTCAAAAATAATCTCATTCTCGAGCCTACACAGATTAACTTACGACGAAACTTTAACATACGAAAATGCGAAATGTAACACTTTGGTTTTGTGTTCATTTGAAATTCATGAATTATTAATCGCATGTTGTTATGTTTTAAGTTCTTTCCTCCAGCACTATATAAATTTTTAAAGATTATGTATTTTTGCTGAAACTGAAAAAGAAGTATGATAACTTACTAAATTGAAGTTATGATACTATAAATTTGGAATAAATTTTAAGTTAAATTATTAACTAATGATTCAGGAACTGAGCCCGTTTGGATATAAGAAATTTTTAACTTTTTTTCAATTTTTTGTTTACTTTTTTCGGAAATTAGTGTTTGTTCATAAAATTTCCAATTTTCACTTGAAGATGCATTTTGGAAATTTTCGAAAATTTGAAAAACTCCAAAAAGTTATTTTTTAAAATTTTCGCTCAAATCACTCACAAAATTTCAAAAACAACCCAAGTTATATTTGTGTCCAAACACAACTCTATATTTCAAATACCATTTTTACTTGAATTTTTTTTTTACCCTATTTTAAAATTTACAATTCTTATGTTCACTTGGACTTTTATTTTATAATTTATAACTCAAGCATAATTTTAAAATAAGTTTATAGTCATCGAGACCTTGAGACTATTATTAAAGGAAAAAAAGAAACGAAAGGAGAGCTGAAGATGAAAGAGCAATTTTTTGAGACAACTTGCAACATCGTTGTAATATTCTGTGTTTGTGCGAATATATATTCCTTATTCATTATCGTGCCGAGGTAAACGGTCACCGTCCTTACGCACGTGTTCCGACTTCCGGCGATCTCATCTACTCGTAAAACCCAGCAACTCACAAAAATCAGAACTTTATTAGAGTTGCCAGAACAAAGAAATATAGCTATGAAAGCTTTGTTATATCCCGACCCATTGATATCTCCAGTACCAATTACAAAAACCAGACCTTTTTTGAATCCTCAAACTTCCGTTCGAATTCCCATTAAACGCGTCGACTATTGGGTCGGGAAAAGCAGTTATTCGGCCATTAATGCTGTATTGGATTCGGCATCGATTGATGAACAAGAACCCGATATTAAGAACCCGTCTCTGTCAACTTCGTATCGGAATTCTGAGTTACCAAAGCCCAATCAGACTGTACTGGAAGCTCAAACCAAAGTTTGTACTGGGCCAACTCAAACCAGGCCTCTCACTGAGGAACATGCCTTCAAGGTTTTGGACACCATTTTGAAATCAGGTTATTCTGATTTGACTTTGTCTCTCTAATTTTTATTCATTTCTTTTGTTTTTCTGGTACTGTGACATGTTTTAGGATTTACGTTATATAAACAGATAAAGAATTCTTTTTACACCATCCATCAGTGTAATTATTACTTATCATTTTTTCGGATTTACGTTATATAAACAGATAAAGAATTCTTTTTACACCATCCATCAGTGTAATTATTACTTATCATTTTTTCGGATTTACGTTATATAAACAGATAAAGAATTCTTTTTACACCATCCATCAGTGTAATTATTACTTATCATTTTTTCGGATTTACGTTATATAAACAGATAAAGAATTCTTTTTACACCATCCATCAGTGTAATTATTACTTATCATTTTTTCTGGGACATGAATCATTGCTATTGAGAACTATCCTGTCACGACCCGAAACCCCGTCGTGATGACACTTAACTTAACCCGTTAGTTAAGCCAACACTTATAATCAAAGTAAGACAAAAATAAAGGATAAACAGCTGTTATGATATAGATAAAACATATATAAGTCTGACAACATCAACTAAATGCGAAAAATACTACGTCAATCTCCCAGAAAACCCGGTGGTACAGAATCATAAGCTACTAAAAAGAGTACAAGTGTACAACTAGGTCTCAAATATAAAATGTTGTCTAGAACAAAATAAACATTAGGATAGAGGATTCCATAAGCTGCAAATCCAACATAGCAGCTCACCACGAAGTCTCCAAAGCTAAGCAACTAAGCACCCTCCTGGACGCCGCTAGGACCAATACCAGGATCTACACAAAAATGTGAAGAAGTGTAGTATGAGTACATAATTAACGTACACTCAGTAAGTAGCAAGTCTAACCCCGATGAAGTAGTGTCGAGGTTTAGACGAAATAAACATACTTAACCTGATTCACACTTATAAAAATATATAGTAAATGGAGAAAACAACCAAGACCCCGCGGATATAAATAGCAAGGTGGCCCTGTCAAGGAACAAGTATTAAACATACCGAATCCGCATATAAGGATGGTATGCACCAAATAACATGTGAATGCATGCCTTTACGTGAGTTTAGAGTGTCTATGCATGATAAAAACTCAACTCTACTTTAACCAACACTTCTTAGGTGCTCGACACCTCCTCGGTATCCAATATCACTGCTCACACGTGGCCCAAAATAACGTGGATAATCACATGGCTTCAAGGGGATGGATCCAAATCAACGCGCTCGAGCATTATAGCTCCATAATGAATCATTAATATCTCAGAAATTAGTCATCAAACTGTATGGAATGTACATCGTTCCAAATCATAATAATTGCATGGAATATCCGATCGTGCCAACCTCAGTCCATAACAGAGTTTCATATTCAGGGATGTATGCATATGAATAAGAAATAAGCATGTATATTGCATATGGATAGAGAAATCAGTATGCCGAGATGTATGCATGTGTATAAGTATGACTACAACTTAAGTTGCTTGGACACGTGTGTGGATCTAGAGATCGGATCCTACGGATACATGTGCGGGATCCGGTTAAAACTAATTCAAAAATATAAAAATTATCTCTAAATTATGAGAAAATTTGTGGAATACTTATGTATTGGTATAGCTTGTAAAGTGTGGATTTCTTTTTTATTCTCAAGTTGTAGATAAGTGAAGGGTTGATTTTCTATATAAGGTATGCTATTTTCTTCAAATTTACCTAGCTTTGGTTATGATTTCGGGATATCTCGTGTCGAATTTTTTTCGTCTGTTGTGGTCAAAGTACCCAAAAAATTTTACCAGATCCGGTACGGTTCTCATACCGATATCCATACTAGTGTTGTGTCGACACGGGTGCGGCACAACTGCCATGTCGGAGCAACTTAGACTACAACATGTAATTCAACATGCCAAATAGCCCATCATGTCCAAATAAAGCATCAAAAGGCTAGACATAATCTCTAGCATAAATAAAGTTACTCAAGCAGTCATACAACATTTAAGGCATAAAACAAGAAGAAATATATCTCGTACAAGGCACAAAGAAGCCTAAAATCTACCCCAAACATGGTATAACCTTGGCGCCCACACCTCGCATATACGTCAATCCCAAACACATAGTATTTATCATACAAGTCCATTTTAGAAAATTCCGTCAAATCAAAATTAGCCAAGATACTTACCTTATCCGAAATAAGCCTCAATCTTCCAAAATGCCCTTTCCTCTATCCTTGGCCTCCAAACGCTCCAAATCTAGCCAAATAATACTCAACGTTAGACGATAAAATTTCAATCTTTAATCAAATTTTAAAAGTCAACAAAAAGTCAACCTGGGTCCACATGGTCAAAACCCGAGTTTAAGGTCAGATCCGTCGACCCATAACTCCACGAATTCAAATATGTGATTAGTTTCCAAATCGGCACTCAAAACCTTAAAATACAATTTTCCATCTTTTGGACAACTCCAATTTCTCTTGTTCTATCCCATGTTTTGATGTTAAATATAGCGGTAGATTCATGTAAAAAGCATATATTTAGGTTAGAATCAATTACCCCAACCTTGTAGATGAAGCTCTAGGCCAAAATCTTCCAAAACCGAGTCCCACAAGCTCTAACAGCTAGAAAAATATGCCAAAAATACGAAATGGGGCTATTTATACAAAGGGCTAAAGCTGTAGAATTCTACAACAAAATTTGGCCTACTCGTAGGGTGCGCCGCGATAGGTGTGCAAACCTGCAATTTTTTTCTAGCTTTGCCCTTTAGCTCCTCTGACATCCCGAAACACACCCGAGCCCCTCGAGATCCCGTCCAATCATCCCAACAAGTTTGTATACCCTCTAGAAGCTTGTCCAAGGGCTCAAAGCACATCTGGAAATATTACAACTAAGAATCAAGCTCCAAACCAGATATGAACTTTCTTAAGTTTTTCAAGCTTCAAACTTCACAAAATAGGCCCGAATCACTCTTGACCCCTTCAGGTCACCTCTCAACCATCCCAGCAAGTCCAAATAACCTATTTGGACTTTTCCAAAGGCTCAAAATACAAAACGAAATGCAATAACACAAATCAAACTTATGAACGCTAAAGTTCTTCAAATATACGTACAAGTCTAAAATTATTATACAAACCTATCAGAACCTTCAAATTATCAATCCGAGCCCGTTTACCCAAAATATTGACTTTGGTCAACTCTCTTAGTTAAAGCCTCTGGTCATGAACCAAGTGTTCCAAACTCCCGAAAATTAATTTTTAAATGACCTGATTTGAATAAGTACTTTTTACACCATCAGAAAATTAGAATTTAAGCTCGTTTTACTTTTCTCATTTCCTTTTGAGTAGAACTTGTTTGTATATTCAATACAGTGTGATATTACAGAAACAGGAGAAGTCTTATATTTCCTGGCATACTGCTCTAAAAGACTAAGCTAAGAACACTCAAAGGAACCATATATATGATCAAATTGGTCAAGATTATTGCTTAGTTGTTTGGGTTACACTTTATTTTAGGTCATGTTTGGGGGTTACTTTGGTTGGAGATTTATATGTACATGTAAAGGCAAGAGTGAGATTGCATAAAATGCTAGTTTTAGAGAATCTAAGAACATACATGTGCACGAAACGTATACATATATCTGTACACACATTATATACAGTCTACGGGTCTGCTTGCTTGTACCTCGCTATTCCACCAGGTAGTTTTTGGGGCCAAATGCATAAAACGAACTATTTATTCAAGCACTTTGTCCAAAAGTGATGGTAATTGATTAAACTACTGCAAGAATTGTAAAACAAATAAGTAAAATAAAGGATCGAACGAAACATGTGAGCAATTTAGGGAATTTTTTTTTTATTTGAGAATGAAAAAGGGCGGTGCACTAAGCTCCCGCTATGTGCGGGGTTCGGGGAAGGGTCGGACCACAAGGATCTATTGTAAGCAGCCTTACCCTGCATTTCTGCAAGAGGTTGTTTCCACGGCCTGAACCCATGACCTCCTGGTCACATGGCAACAACTTTACCAGTTACTCCAAGGCTCCCCTTCAACCAATAAGAGTGAGTATTCCACGTTATAGGCTAGCTAACAATCCCGTTGAGTTATCCGTTTAAATTGACTAACTAAATTATCTGGTTTATTGGTTGACAAGGTTAATATTGCTCGTAAGAATCTTCCGAGTTCTTACTCGCCTATGCAAGTTAACCTAACGCCTACATTCCTATCGAATTAAAATTAACAAGGACAGATTAATAATTCCTGTATAATGACCAAGCAAGACTATCAGGTAGATTCCTATACTAACCAGGAATCCATTCCTCGAGGCCTAGGTTTAGAAACTTGCTCTATTCAATCCTATTTGCAATCTAAAATTCCCTCTTCCCTCTCTCGAGTTTAATCATAGATTCACAAATAGTATTCAATAGTTGGCCAGGCAATTAAACAATAAGCTCGGGATTGAATAGACAAACCAATACGATAAATCAATATAATCAGTTCAGACGTCAAACATCAACATTTATGTAGCACCCATAACCCTAGGACTAAGAAATTAGCCACTCATAATCATCTAAATAATCATACGAATGTTTAAAAAACATCCTATAAAGAAAAGATAAAGGAAAGAAAAACTCTATTGAATCCGGGCTCCAAAGTGTCGTAGCCATGTTTCTCCTTCACAAAGACCAAACTCCCTTTTAGGAACAAGTTTAAGGTCTATTTATAAGTGTAGGAAAAGTCTTAAGTGATTTTAACCAAGTCCAACCAAAGTTAGGCTTTTACTGTACGTGTGTACTTGGGCGTCCGCGCATGCCTAAGTCTAGGCTCCAAAACTCCTTTTACTGCACACTGCAGGTGTGCGTCGCTCGACCAAAATGCAGCTACCATCCAATTCGTTCCATTTGCTGCTTTAATGTCTTGGATCGTGTATTAGCTCCCTGCCAAATTCTTTGACTCCAATGATTGCTCCTCTTTTTTTGGTAGTCCTAGGCTTTGTAACTCTTGCTTTCCAAGCTTCATGCATTTATCTTTCAATTCTTTTAGTAAATCTCTTCCACTCCATTATATAATTATCCTAATTCACCAAATATCAAACAATTAGTATAATCCCCATAATTGAAAAGGCGATAAAAATGCAAGTAAATTAATATCGAAACTTGCACAAATATGCTCAACATCAGTAGTTGCCACCTTCCACCAGTATAATATTGGGTAACTCTACCCACTAAAGCTGTGACAGATGGTAAAGATTTACCTAGTGTCACCTTTGTTGAGATTTGAATGTTGGTTTCTAAAGTTGTTACTCTACCTCTTTGACTGCTATCACCCATGGGTGGAGAACCCTATAAATCTTGGCATTAGAATGATAGACCTATGGATATAGAGCATTCAGATAGCTGGCTCCAACTAGTTTGAGATTGTATAGTTGATATTTAATCTACCATTTTCAAGGCGATAAAGGAGGGAAAAGAAACAGGAAAAAGAAAAAAAGAAATGGAAAAGTAGAAACAGTCTAAGTAATCCCAACTGTAGAAACAGTCTAAGTAATCCCAACTAAGTATGTTTCAAATAATTCAGGTTCGTATTGTAGCTTGGAGTTATTGATGGTTAGTACATCTGGTGTCCTGATTTTGGCCCTCTTCCAGAAATTTGCTTGCCGATGTTGCTTGATTTAAATCACGGCAAGTATACCTTCAGAAGATAAAATTGACAAGGTCAAAGTAATTTAATAAAGCAAAATTACAAAAATTATTGAGGCATGAATTCCCATATCCCAGAGTAAAACTTGCTTTGCCACTAAAATGGATATATCTGTGTAAGACTTCTTGATGACTACTGAAGTTACTTAGTAGCATAATGTTTGATTTTAGCAAAGGGAGAGCTCAAAGACGAAGAACCAGTATCAAAAGCACAACTTGGGGCATTTTTTTCTGCAATGACCATTCGTGCAAATGCCTTCCCAGAGCCAACCCAATGGAGTGAAGGGGAAAGGCGTGCAATGAACCATTATTGGCCGCAATTGATTCGAGTGCTTCCCCAGGATACCATATTTATTGCTGATCCAGAAGGCTCGATAATGGGAGTTGGCAGTTCAATAGGCCCTCAATTCGTTGGTAATGGTACTGCGGAGATGAGACTCGTTGGTGCCCTTAGGGAAGTTTTGGCTGGGGGTCATCTTGGATATGAGGAAGTTCAGGGTGTTCTAAAAGATGTCCTTCCATTGAAAGCAGGAGAAATGGAATCATCTAGTGCAAGTGAGTCACTGTTTTCTGCATTTATGATAGGCCAACGAATGAATCGGGAAACAGATCGTGAGCTGAAAGCCTACTGCCTTGCATTTGATAATGAACTTGGTAATATACTATTTCCTTTTGTCTAAAAAGAATTGGTTGTTGCTTGTTACGTGCCTGCTGCTAAATGACATTGGTTGTTGCTTGTTACGTGCCTGCTGATAAATGTCATTTCTTTATTATCTACTTTAATCTTGTCATCATCCCTTTCAGGCCCTGCACCAGTTGCTGATGTAAACTCATTGACTCACTACGGTGAGCCTTATGATGGAAATACCCGCTACTTC